TTTTTTAAATTCTTTTTCTATGGTAATATTTTGGAATGTTGGAAACTGTTTGGGAGAAGAAGTGATTGTGTTGATTAAAAGTATGATCATGGAAGAAAAGTTAAATGTGATTTTCATCTCTGCAGGAAAGCATCCAAACTTTATTGGAAATTTCTCCCCTTCCTTTTTGCCACCAAGGCCATCAACCAGAATGGCTATCTCTTACCCAACCTCAGCCTGGGGTATAAAATCTATGAGAATTTCTTCAAGGTAGAAATGACTTCAGAAGCTTTGCTGGACCTGCTTTCAGACGGGGAGGCCAATGTTCCCAACTACAGCTGTGGAAGACAGAGAAACACAGTGGCTGTTCTGGAAGGGGCTGAGACCGGCATCTCCATCCAGATTTCGACCATGTTGGACACTTACAAACTCCCTCAGGTGTAAATTAATAGATGATAGAAAAAAATGGATGTGAAGTTGTAAACCTAGACTAAGACTTTAATGTATGCTTTACTTATATCTGCTGTAAAAGAAATTGGAAATCATTCTTTTTTGTGTTTCTATTTCTTTCTTTTTCTGTACTTCTGCTTTCCTTCTTTCTCTTTATTCTTTCTTTTCTTCTATTCTTTTTCTTGCTTATCAGTTACTGCTGGTTTTTATCTGTTTTTAAAATTTAATAAAGCTATTATTTAAAAAATCCCTCAGATGTGTCTTTCTTGGGGAGACCATTTTCAGTCATGCAACTTTGAATCAGAGGTCCTCTGTTTAACGAAAAGCGGAGTTTTATTATGGAAATGATAGGAATTACATTCTGCTTGTTAAATTTTAAATATCACCATCTTCCATTCCTTTCAGATCAGTTACAGTTTTATTTCTCAGATTCTGGGGGATAAAGCTCAGTCTCCTTTCTTCTACCCGATGCTCCCTGCTGAAGGATTCCAGTATTCAGGGATGGTCAAGCTGCTCCTCCATTTCAGGTGGACCTTGGTGGGTCTCCTTGCCCCAGACACTGACCAGGGGCACAAATTCATGACAACGCTGACTTCCCTGCTGATCAGGAATGGCATTTGTACAGCTATGTACCAAAGCTTTACAGTAAATGAGGGTCAGATGGATGTAATATTTAAAGAATATTTCAAGTGGAGAGAAGTCAATGT